AAATGTGTAGTTATGATAAAGCTGAGACGTAGCGACACTTCTGATAACACAGTACTCGACAATTCCGATCACGTGAAGTAACAAAAATGAGTTTGAAAATTTGAACTCGATCATGCTAAACCAATCACGAAGTGCCTGAAAAACAAAATTATACCACTTTTTTTATGTTCGGAAAGGCCAATAATGTGTTTTAAACTGTGGACATACCAGTACAAATAGCGGAAACAAGACGAAACCGAGAGCTGGCATGTAATATGCTACCGACAAAAAACGTCGCGTGCCTGTCATTATATAAAGAAAGTACGACTGATGAAATTTCTCCAGTATGTTGTTTAGTGATCTAAAAATGAACTTATAAGACATCAGCATTTACCATTTTCATGTTTCGTGGCGAGAAATAAAGTAACATGCAACTGGGGAAGCAGGCAAGTGTGCCGCTTCATGCTAAAGGACAGTACCATCAATACATAGAGATTTTGAAAGTGTTTTTAAGTTTGGAACTTTCCCACGCTTTGAAGGGATTGCTGATTTTTATGCGTTTTGTGCTCTGTTGCCACGCCCTCTTCAAGTGTGTGTGCCCGAGTGTATTTGGTTCCACTTTCAACTCAAGAACCAGTAAAGTTAGGAAGTTGAAATTTTAGCGACTCCATAAATCAAAATTCAACTTTCCCGTACATCTGGGTCTTGTATGCGACCACATGTAAATTTTGGCGGAAAAATTAGTATCTCGGAAGTCGTAAAAGTTAAAAAGTTGAAATTTTGAAAGTGTCTTTTACCTATGTGTAACCCCGTAAATTCAAATTCAGCTTTCATGTGTGCCTGAATCTCGGGTACGCGCAATTGAAAACTTCACAACTCGAAAACCAAAAAGGTTAGAAAACTTATGCGGATGTTATATATCCACATTTAATCCAAATACTTAAATCCAGCTCTCATGTACGTCTAGGCCTCACTCACGGCCACACAAAATTCTCGGTAAAATCTTTGTTAACTCATGAACCAAAAAAGCTAAGAGGTTGAGATTTCAGAAGGACGTTTTCTGTCTGTACAGGACCTCCCGCACTCAAATTTAGCTCAAAATTATACCCAGATCTCACGTATGGCTAAATGACAGTTTTTGCGCAGAAATAACTTGAAGCCAGAACACTAGGACGCTGAAATTTTGGAGGATGTTCTCCGCCCATGTGCAATCCAAAGATTTCAAATACAGCTTTCATGTATGTTTGCGTCTCAAGTATGCGAAATTTTTAGCGGGAAATTTCGCAGCTCAGGAATTAGACAACATATCGACCATTTTTGCACATACCAAGCCAAAACAATGAAAATTTTTAACAGGTAAACGTCTGCTGTCCTTTATATATCTATACATCGCAAACGGTCATTTCTTTACAGATTCTAAAAAATTTCTGAGCGCATATAAGTACACATCTAAGAAAGTCTGTAACAAAAAACATGCAATTTCGATTCCTAAAAAACTTGCAATTATAAAATGTGGATATCCCACATTCCTAAAGTCACCGGAAGGCATTCAACGTGAACGCAGCTC